CTCTCTCTCTCTCTCTCTGTGAATCAGTCAACGCCCGGCCCTCGTTGGCTTTCGGGAAGGGCCAGAAAATAGTTTAAAAAAAAAACAGAACAATTTGTTTGGGAGTGTGCCTTGAACAACCGAAAAAAACGTTTTTGGGAGTGCCTTGAACAAAAAAAAAAAAGTTAAATTCCGGATCTACCAGACTGGACGTCCACACGGGCATCCAAATGCGGTCTGTCCGGACTGGCCTCCAGACGTCCGAATTGTAACCATGGTATATACTATATAGCAATATGACTTGGACCCATCCAAAACATTGAAGAACTTAACTTTGAAGAAAATCAGCAGCCTGTCTCTGACCGGGGGATCCATCCAAGGCAACCTCATCTCAAAAGTAGAGTGGAGGCCTAGGAGTCCTCAACCCAGGAAAGCAGATCAAAGCCCTACAAACCTAGTGGATCCTCTAGGGCTACACATGATTCAACAGCTGTCAAGATCTAAACCCAAGAAAATATGCGCGACCTCTTCTGGACCATGGCCAAATAGTGGGCGATGAAGGGCGCATCTCGAACGGAGCAGGGGGACTAGGAGGAGGAACAAGGGTACGACTTCTTGCGGCAACTATTCTGCAACCAGTCATTGCTAGGCACACAGGGGAAGCCCCGGACATTAGCCGGAAAAGACACCAAATCTCGGAAAATGGAGTGTGGTGATCAAGGAGATGGAAAACGGTAGGTGAACTGAGGGAGTGTTTGAAAGGCTGCCACAACCTACGGCAGAACCTAAACAACATCCTATTCTCAATTCCGTAGAGCTGGCTACAACTGCTTAGGGGTCCCTTCAAACGGAATCCAGGGGACCGGGCAACAAGAAAGATGGAGAACCCCCCCACCACAGCCTACCAGTTCGGTATGAGGAAAGGACAAAGGGACTTCTGGCTGATCTACGACATGTACTCGATCGAAGATCCAGGGGCAACCACAAGTCTCTGAGACCGAAATCCCTCGGGAGAAATAGCCCTACTGGATCACACCGTGAGGAAAGTAAGGGTAGAAGAAGCAGACGAACGTCATATCTATAGCCTGCTAATTAGCATAGCCAATCTGGAGATCGATCCAGCAGAATGGGCGTGGAAATGGAAGTCAGGCAGACTAAAAATAGAGAAAGGTGCTAACATCTTGGAGTATACTATGATGAAGTTAGGATACATTCAGAGATTCTTCCCTCCCAATAACCCAAATCATCAACCACAGATTGGAAACACAATCTTCCACCAAACAGTACTTTCATCACCTCCTTCAATCGAATTCTCACCATTTCCTCAGTGAAAATAAGAAGCTTCCAATGGCTGCTCGCCCACCGGGCCCTGCCAGTCAATACATGGTTGTACAAGAGAAGGAATGCTCAGTCGCGGTCCCCTCCGCAAGAACATTCCGCTATCTGTCCAGATGGGATGATAGAGGAAGTAGAACACTTTCTACTACTTCGTCAAAAGACAAGACAAGTTTCAAAAAACACAAAAGAGCTGTGGCACTTTCTACTCACTCCTATTAGGCGTTCATACGTCCAACTGTTGGCAAGGGTATGAAATTATATTTCTCCACAAAATAAGGCTTGCAACCCTACGATCAATATGGAAGCACAGGTGCCAAGAGACAGTTGACCGCACCGCCAGAACCGCACAAGAAGCGTGGGAAGAAGAGCTGCATCAGGTAGAGGCCGAGTGAGTATAGGGGGTGTTGAAAGAGGACCCATAGGAGAATAGAGGAGAAGAGAATATGGAGAATAGAGGAGAATATAGCGAATAAAAGCAAAATGTTAGAAACCTTTACAAAACACCAGTTAAGAGAAGGGAAGATACCTACAATAGATCAAGACAGAATTCATCGTGGCCCGACCAATGGAGGCGTAATCAATCACCTCGACCACAATTGTTGGACAGGACCCACCTCACAGGCATGTCGGTAGGCTCTAGATAAAATATTACATATCCACACTGGCCTTAAAAGAAAGGCAAGACAAAAGCTAATCCACAGCCTCTAGCCACCCCTTAAATTGTGACAAGGGCAAAGGAGAGGACATGTGATCGATAAAGGAAGATCTCCAGGAGCAGAGAGGGAACAGTGGGAATCTACTAGGATTTAGTTCCTGGAGTAGGAAAAGTAGAAAGAGGGCCAGAGACAGAATAGGTCATAGATTCAGAGTAATTGTAACTTTAGAACCCCTAGGGCTTAGGGCTTTAGCAAGTTCGATAGTAAATGGCCAAGCTAGCAAGTCTAGTACTCATGCAAATCTGACAGCCAAGTAGCTGAGAGGAACATGCCGGGTTGAGCCTCAACAGATAGGCATTGATTGGCTAACGGATGTAGCAGAAGTCAGTCTAGACTCTAGAGTGATCAGTGCCAGAAGATAAGACATGTAGGCTAGCGCAGGCAGGGAGGGGTGAGGTGTGGTACATCCTCCCCTCGGGAAAAAATCAACGCCGTCCACTTGGGCGTCCCAACCATAATGGGAAGGAGCGTGTGTGAGTAACTATTGTAATTTCTTCTGACTTGCCGGTGGAATATGAACAGGACTGATGCTTCCCGTCATGGAAGGGAGCCTGAACCGTAAGCTTCTGTTTTTTTTTTTTTTTTTTTTTTTTTTTTTTAAAGAAAAAGAAGACACGATCGTGTTTTTTTTTGCTTTTGTTTTCAGACCAGGTTGTGGTTCTTCACTTTGGAAATAGATATGTTTGATGTATGGTGCCATTTTGTGTGGTAATGACAGTGTTGCGTACTTTTCCATTGCAGTTCTGCGTTATTTTGCCGATGCAACCCTACAAGGGAAAGCTTCTGCCCGAGCAAGCGAGCAGTCAAATCAAAGAGACTTGCATATCGGCTCCAGCTCGCTGGACTGACACCGAGAAGGTAAGGAAAAGGCTGTGTTTGTATGTTTTGTCTTTACCTTTCCTTCTGGTTTTCAACTTGTAAACAAAATTAGTATCCTGTTTCTTCTTCACAGGCCAAGCCCAAGGATATGACTGAGGGAGGCTCCACGTACTCTAGGTACATTTCAACAGAATCTGGGTGAGATTCCATTCAGGTACTTACAACAAAGAGGGAGGCTCCACAGGACAAGCCTTCCAAGCACGCATAAAGTCAAACTGATAAGGACTGACAACAAAGACGAAGAAAAGAAAGGAAAAAGAGAAAGGGAAGAAGAAGAAGAAGAAGAAGAAGAAGAAGAAGAAGAAGAAGAAGAAGTAGAAGAAGAAGAAGAGGAGAGAAGGAGAGAAGCAAGAATAGAAAGAGAAGCTAGGCGGATAAGAGAGAACCTGGTGAAACCCAGATTCCCGAAACACGACCGTTGGGCCGTAAGGTAGCGAATAACACCGCCGAATACATCCAAAGAAAAATCGTGAAAAGATGGTGCAGCGACCCTACACTGCGTTTCATCCGGCCGCCACAACCGGAATCATCAGGGGTCTTGTCGTATCGTATCACTAGGGAAAGGGACTGAGCAAATAGAAGTTCCAAGTTTAAGTACTAACAGATGAATCGCCCAGAATAGTCCGAGATAACCTAGAGGGGAGAAAGAGATCTGTCAGCGAAGAGAGTCCAGGAAACTGCCCCTAAAGAGAGGCAAATGATATAGACAGAAAGGACCATCAGATACAGCCTAAGAGAGGAAACAAGCTAAACAGCGATTCGTCTAGAAGTAACGACACCAAGTTCGACAGCACAGTCCCAAGCTCCTCACATCTCCTGCACCCACCTGCTCATTCACCAGGCGGTCTCCTACAGACCCAGCACATATGTTACGGGAAAAAACAATTTTTTAAAAGAAAGGAAAAAACAAAACCAAGAAACAAAATAAACAAAAAACAAAAACGCAAAGCAAAAGGTAAGACAACAAACTCCGAGACGGGTGCACCCCGAGGGGCGCCACCCCCAACATTTCTCAAGGGCCGTCCGACCCCAGCTCTGTTTTTGCAGTTTTCCCCAGACCCCACCCCCCTGCCCCCAGTCTTGATTGTCTACTCTCCCACCCGCGAGCAACTGCGGCACCGACCGTCAACCTGCCCCAGCCTGCAGTACTGCCCCCCGGTCGTCCCAGATCCCCGCAAACTTCCTGGAGAAGACCGTCAGACCGTTATCGAAGTATTCATGTGGGAAACCCCTCTTTCGCAGCTCAATCTTCAAGGTAAGTAGGAACGCCACTTCCATCCCCTTCATGGTAGTGTACAGCCTTGCCCGATGCAAGCAAGATCCGATAACGGCCATTTTCTGCTGCTTGCTTGTATAGGAGTCGAAGTCCTGCAAATTCGGAAACTTCACCCCTTTCTCCCTGTAGCTCCGTTGGTTTTTGTGCAAGGCAACACACTGCAATCCCCATGGCCATTCCAAAGATTTCATCACACAGCCAAGAAAGTCCCAGCAATCACCTTCACTGGTCTGCTCCAGAACGAGATTGTCTTCGTAGCATGCCCGGAACACGTCCAGGGTTTCACCAGCCTTCAGCAAAGAGCAACGATTCCCTTCCTTGCAGCGGATCATAACTGACACATCATCCACCATGTGCAAAACCATTCACCAGGCGCTGATTGCAACCCATTGACGTTAGAAACATAAATTCGTTAGAGGTTGGATTCTTAAAAAAAAGAAAAAAAAAAAGAAAAAAAAAAGAGGTTGGATTCTAGACCTACGACAGGTACCTTTTGACAGTGAAACTTCGGGGTTTAGAACCACCTTATGAGGCTTCGTCCCTCCCTACATCATGACAATTTTACCTAGCACATCCACTACTCCCCATTCGCACCTCATTACAAGGACTATCACCCAACCACCTGGTCACGATGGCGGGGTGAGACCTCAGTTGTAGACACCAGCACTAAGCAAAAGGTCCGCTATACCCTTCCTAGCCCAGAGTGGAAGCATAACTGAGCTAGCCCTGTTGCATGAGTACTTCAGACACCATGCATGACCTATTATACCACTTCCATCCCCTTGGGCTGAGCTGGCCAGGCCGTGTCTGTAATCCGTGCCGTGCACAGACTCAAGGGAAGTGTGTGCACAGCCTGTGCGTCGGTCAATGTGCGCCGGTGTCCATGCGTGAGGCAGCAGGGTTTTGAACCCACAACCTCAGACCATCATGCGCATTTCCAACCGGTGCACTACCCACTGAGCTAAGCGGCTGTGCATAGGCTAAACAGTCCTAAAGAGACTAAACAGCCCAGAAAGGCTGGAAGGCAGCAGATCAACTCAGGTGAGTGCTCAGATATGCCCATCATCTGCCCAACAACCTAGAACAGGTCGTATTCTCAATTCCTCTGGCATGGATAGTCACATTGAGAAAGGGGGCCACACTTCTAGAGGGCGATTGGGTTGTGGCACATCAACTAAATGGTGTCAAGGTTACCATTGGTAGGATAGTGCCCACTCATTCTGGAGGGGTCTTCATCAATCGTTTTAGGCTCCATCGTGATCACTCTCTGTGAAAATACCAGCCAGATCGTGTTGATTTTCCCCCCTTCTAATTCAGTCTATAGGGTCAGGGCTATTCGGAGTCCCTCCTCGAAGGGATGTCGGGCCTGCTCTCCCCAACTACCCATTCCTGAGCTACTGCTGGATTCAGCGAAATGGGTGTGGCAAACCAACAAAACGGGCAGGTTGCGCAATCTTCAGTCCCTCACAGTTAAAGCTGCGTACTGTATGATGCGCCCCAAGGTAGATGTCAATCCTCTAGTGCAGGACCACTGGGTCAAGCAACTGATTATCGATCGAGATCTGCTATGCCCCATACGATGGTTCAAGGACGACCAGCTAAATTTTCCTCGCTACAATGGCAAATATCCATCGCTGCCTCCCAACAAATGACTGGTTGTTTGACCACACTACCTTGGAACGGTGAGGATTAGCCTTTCCTTGGTGCCAATCTTGCTTCACGGCAATCCCTAGTCGTAGGGTGAGAGAAACTATCGAACATATATTTGTACAGTGGCCAGGGCCGGTACTTTCCTGGCGCCGATGGGACTGTGTATGGTGCCTGTTGACAGGGAGTGACTGGCCGTGGGATTGGAGGGCAATCCTTCTGGGCTATTGGAACCCCCCCCAATCACGTGGACCTCCCTGGCTTTCATCAAAATCTCTTTTCAATAGGCTGCAAATCAGTGCTGTGGGCACTCTGGCACAAAGGACGCATTCATCCGGAAGGTGTTAAGGATGGAAGGGAATGAATTCACAGAGTCCATCAAGCTATTCGCACAAACAGAGATCAGAGCCCGTTTGGCCCACTGAGATCCTCTATGGACTGACTGGGACGCTCTGGAGGAGGGATTGAACATGTGGTTTGGCCAGGTGGGGAGGGAAAGGATGCCCCCTACAAGAAGGATTATCATCTTATTTTTCAGAACAAGTTTGACATTCAGCAAGGCAGCTATCTGGGATCCCCAGCGGGCTTTTCTGATGCAGCGGTATGGATAGATGCTGGAGGCGAGTTTCATCGCTCGAATGCAGGAGGTTAATGTCCTGAAGTGTTTAGGACAGCTAGGAAGCATTGTATATATGGCGGTCCAGGATAGACTGAGGACACTGTCCCAATCCCACGCTCACCATGATGCTCAATTGCAAACTGATGTTATCAGGGACGCTGGACCCGATTTCCAGCAGGTGCGGCTCCCCACCAAAAGAATGGAGTCATCAGCAGGGGTGAGTGGTCTTATCACCGCTCCTAACAACCGACGCGGATGTTTTTTCCTTTCGTACGAGATGCTGCTGCAAATCGGAATTGAGATATATCCAATTCTCTCGAAGGCCACAGACGGTCGCTCGTATCCAAGTGCTGAAGTGCAAGTCCCTTAGACAAGGAGCCTTCGGTGACAAGGGGTTTGATTGCACTGGCCCGCACTTTGATCCAACATGCTGCTGCAAATAGAGATGCGATTTCCTCTAAGCACGTAGCCGCAGTCGGACCATTGTAACGTTTATGGCCAGTTTCTTTCATTGAAATGCCAGTTCCTAAGTTTCTTTGTGGCGGTCGTGCTTTTTTTATGATGGGCAAGTGGTTGGTTGTTTGCTTGATCACTTTTGGGAGTCAATTGTGACGGTTGGTGATTATGTTTGGTGTTGTCGCTGCTTGCTGGGCTGTTGCAGCTGGCTGTTGTTTTAATCAGTTGTTGATGGTTGGTGATGATGTTTGGTGTTGTTGCTGCTTGCTGGCTGTTGCAGCTGGCTGTTGTTTTAATCAGTTTTTGATTTTTACGAATCCATTTAAAACACTAGTACCTTTGGGTCCGGTTTTCGACAAGTCTTGGCCAGTACCCGAACTTTCAGGAGGCCGAGCCCGACGTTTATCAATCTGACCGGTGGCCATCGTTTCGTTTCGGCCTCCTGAAAGGTCGGAGGCCGAGTATTTTCGAACCGACAAAGGTACTGGTGGGTTAAGTTATGGCTAAAAAGCGGTATTGGGGTTCATACAGCCTATATGCAGAAATACTGGAAGATTCATGGTGTGCTTCTGTTTGGGAAGGGAAACTCATGTGCACAACAAATTCACCGAGCATCCCTCTTTTTCAAAGGACTAGGGAAGAAGATGGCAGTCCATATCCCTCTCTCTCTGTGTGTGTGTGTGTGTGTGTGTGTGTGTGTGTGTGTGTGTGTGTGTGTGTGTGTGTGTGTGTGTGTGTGTGTGTGTGTGTGTGTGTGTGTGTGNGTGTGTGTGTGTGTGTGTGTGTGTGTGTGCGTGTGTGTGTGTGTGTGTGTGACAGAATGCAATTTGGAGGTTGGAATCAGATAAATGATGGAAACTGCTAGTTGGACCCAGTAAGCCCTAAATGATTTCGCATTGCGTTGCATTGTCTACAGATGATTGCTAAAAACAGATACGATCTCGATCCCATCCTGAAGACATTCAGTGTGAAAGTCCTCCCAGGAATGGCGCCAGTCCAGGCACGGATTCTTGCTCCCCCAGTGGTAAGTTCCTGCAGTGTAGTTTGATGTCTCTCCTAAGTACCCAAATTCATGCCGTGAAATGGGATGGCAAATAGCCAGCTGTTGATGAACAGATGGGGAATTCATTACCATTGAAACCAGTAATGTGAAGTGTCAACCCCTTTGGTGAAAAAATAAATAAAAGAAAGTGAGCTGGGTGTGAACTTTGAAGTATACTTTTTTTCCTTTTTTTTTTCAAGAGCCTCAGGGTTTTCCCACAGTTGGGTTGTTGGTGGTCGCGAAACAGGCCGCTGAGTCTGTCGGAAGTACTGGGCCGCCGTTTTGCTGGACATCCATCCAGGAAAAACAGGCCTTGCATGCGACCCATTTTGCCTGCTTGGATATGCCACGAAACGGCGCTCTGGTATTTCCTGAGAGATGCAGCAGCGCGCACACCGCGACTCTGAAAAAATGGCTGGGAGAAGTACTGGTGGTTTGAAGGACAATTAGGTCAAGATGGTTGTGAGTTATTAAATGGTATGCACAGCGTTCATTAGTTTAACTTTTAGCGTCATATATTTTACTGGGAAAAAAATTCAGAAAATGGACAAAAGAATTTGATGGTGCTCTAATCTAAACCTTCACGTTTCCCTCAATACTGCGGAGAACGCTCTTTGGAGGTGATGTGAATCTACTTAGCTTAGCTTTCTAATGCAGATCCATTTGGGCACATTTATCAAGTTGGTGCCAAAGGTATCAATTAGTTTTTGTGGGGAGAGCATCTATGCATTTGGCCATTGAAGTCTGTGTTGCAGGAAATGAGAGGACTTCCAGCGTTCGAATGGGGAAGTAGGTTATGGGATTTTTCTTAAGCCACCAGTACCTCGTGGACGATTTTCTCCTGCTGAAAAAAATCTTATGGACTATGTATATCAAGCCGGCTACAGGCAGGCCGATACATCAAAAGCATGGTTTAACCTTTTTCTCAGGCACTTGAAACTGTGGTGGGGCTGGGTGTAACTAACTGGAGGAAGGGTGTTGCATACTCGTGAAACACAGTCATAAGTATGGTGCAGATTCCCAGAACCGACCAGATGATACAGAGTAGATACAAATACAGCGGAAGACTTGATACACATGGACTGACTCGAAATCTGACTCAGACTGCAACGAATCTCTCACACATGCATCGGTGGTGTGAAAGCCATGGCCTTGAACATGGAAGAAGAGGCCAGGGGCTGATCTCATACACGGATGAATGGGGGGGAGGAGAGACGAAGGGAGGAGGAGAGGGAAGATGACGTCAACTGAGAAAAAGAAAACGTGTTTTTTTTTATTCACAACAAGCCAAATGTTTCCAAAAATAGTATCTCGAAATGTCAGAAACAACGAAAATCCGAAATGTCGCGAATACAGAGTCTCACAGTGTCTCTGATATCGACCTCACAATGTCAAGATACATCCTCAGAGGTAGATGAAGTCAGATCCCAAAGTAGTCCTCAACCTGCAGTCTGAATGTTGCTATCTCTAGTATCATCAGAACTAACCATCCTTCACAGTCGTAGTAGTCCAGAAGTAGACATAGACTTAGAGGGTAGGAGGAGAGGGAGAGAGAGAGAGAGAGTGGAGGAGGAAGAAGAGGGAGGAGGAAAGGCAAGGCCTTTCTGCCTGATACCTGCGCGCGGCAGCTATGGCGCTGCAGGGCTGGCGCTGGGCTGTGGCTGGGCCGGAGGCTGGCGCTCTTCCACCGGTTTGCTAATCTGCCGCTGCGCTATCTCTCCTCCACTCTGTGCTGATCCTCTCCGATGCTCCTGCTGCTAACGCTGAAGTGCTGTGCAAATCCTGTAGACTAACATCCTCACTACTAACCTACTGACTGAGGCTGGTACCCAGCTGATATAGTCCTGGGTCGGCCTCAGTCCTACTGAGTGCCTTCGGGTCTGGACCGTTGATCGGGCCCAACGGTTCAGATCAGATTTGAATCTGAACAGTGGTGCCTAAAACTGCGCCGCCGGCCGGTCCTACCGATGGACCAGTACCTGGCCTAAACTCAACTAGCCGTTGGGTCTGGTGGTTCTAAACTAGGCCTACTGGACTCTAATCTGAACCGGCGGTTCCCTAGGCCTATCTGGACCTAGCTGGGGACCGTCGGGACCCGGTACCTAGGCCTAACCCGTGCCTACCACAGAACCGGGCCCTAACTGGGGCCCGTGTGGTATCAGTATGCCACAAAGGGTCCCGGTACCGGTGGTTTAACCTTTTTCTCAGGCACTTGAAACTGTGGTGGGGCTGGGTGTAACTAACTGATTGTTTTGACCCCCTTTTTTTCTCATCTCGGCCTCTTTCTGCGCAGATGTCGTTTGGGAATAACTATCAAGACACGCCGATGAATGGGCAATGGAATCTCAACACGAAGGTATGTGACTCGCCCAATTTCATTGATCGGTGAAAACAAGTCCAGAGTTTGACTAATTGGTTTAGACCTATCCCACCCATCCTTCCATAACTTGCCAGGCAGAGGGTTACCTCTGCCTTTCTTTTCTATAGCATGTTGTCCTCTGGTTGTACTTTGGACTTGGAATCTGCCTGTAACTCACTGTGACTCATGTTACCTGTTCGGACGTCGAATGAGGCAATATCATGTGATTTGATTGACAGCATGGCAAGCGACTTCTGCTATGGCGCCTTGCTGTGACTCGCGTTAACTGTTCGAATGTCGAATGCGGCAATATCATGTGATGTGATCGACAGCATGGCAAGCGACTTCTGCTATGGTGCCTATGTGATCGACAGCATGGCAAGCGACTTCTGCTATGGCGCCTAGACGATGAGAGGAGGACAAATTCCGCAAAGGGTAGTGCAAAACTGAGTGATGCCATCTGTTTAAAGCTTAAACTTTGTGGTTCTGGAATGTGGATGCATATAACCGTTTAGTAACTTGTCGAGTGGTTTGTTATTTTTGCTTCTGTAATTTGTCCAGTCGAAACAGTGAGTTTGTCAGGCAGCTTGATTGGTTGTGGACTGGTCATTTTGCTGTTTGGTGTTGCAAATCGATTTGTAAATGATTCTATTGTAATTGCTATGTAACTTGATAGGTCACTCGGTATTTGTTCCTGTGATATGTATTGTTGATCAGACTGTTTATCAGGGAGTCACTATCAATGCGTGGATGGTGGTCGCTCTCAACAGTGAAGTTCATCCGAGGGTCTTTGATGACATGGCGAGAAGCTGGCATAAGAAGGGTATTGTAAGTAGTCTTAACGGAGGCTTCCGCAGACCCCTTTTATGTAGTATTTATCTTCATGAAAACCTCCAGCACGACGTATAGCACCTTTTAAACCACCAGTGAACAACCCCCCCCCCAGGCAGCTTGAGAACAACAGTCGGCTCAATCTGAAATCTCGTTGGAGGCCCGGTAGTGAAATGGGGGAGGAAGCTGGTGGGCCCAACAGGAAGGACAAATGGACTGTTGTTTTTTTTGCCGTTTCAATCCCCGAATCTGGAAACACATGCACAGACGAGAATCACAAAGAAAAAAGGAGAAAAAACAAAGGAACTGAATGACAACACGTCAGCCACGTTGTGGGCATGCACTGTAGGAGGGCAGTAAGGCATTGAAACAGGCATGAAAACAGACACAAAAGGCTCCACACAAAGGCGTGACAACGTGCATTTTTGATGTAAGGAACTGGTTTCAGGTTTTGTGCCTTTTTTAAGTTTTTTAAACTTTTTTTTGATACTCGGTATCTGATTTGTTCTCAGTCTTGGTATGGGCCAGAAAAGTACAGTGTTCTGCCACCGTTGGCAGGGCCAAAAAAAGTGAAAAAAGAAAGAGTTGTCTTCTTGAGTGACTGCCCGTTGAGGAAAACGGGTAATACTGTGGGAATCCGCGGCCGAAATGAAAACAAAAACACTGATCTGGCCTTTCGGGAAAGCTTTTTTGTGCGCAGGGGAGTCCACCTCCGCAAAAAGAGGTTGTGATGTACTGGTGGTTTAAGCACCTTCAGCGCCTTCAGCACCTTTCGCACCTTCAGCAATTTTCCTACCGTTATTTCAAGCCTCTTTAGCACCTTCAAGCCTCAGCCAGCAGTGCCTTTCCTGTTTTTTTGAGGATGCTGCCTAATCTGGGTTGAGACTCTGGACAGTCATTGAGACCTCTGTCAGGGGATTCAGATTCCAGTAGCACAGATTATGAGATACAAAGGCAAAGATTGAAAGCCAGTTTCTCTCGATGAGTGCTAGAGTGATGTGCCCCCCAGAGTCATTAGCTCTGCTCGTTGAACATTTCATTCTCTTGAGAGAAAATTACAAATTCATGCTGGGAGGATCACAAATTGTCAAATTCAGAAATTCTGCATTTCTGGAGCACATGGTCAGATTCCCCACGAGTAAATCAAACCTCTCCGGTTCGATTCATGCAGAACGGCGTTGTCAGTACTAGTGAAATGAAATTACGAGTACAAGACAACAGCTCTGTGTAGTATCATAGTATGTGTTTACTCAGTAAGTCGAACCTGCCAGCAACAGGAGGATTCTGCAATGATCCATTCACTGTTCATATACCTGAGGATGAAGAGCGAAGGTGACAAATGCAGCACTCTTCTTCAACCAAAGGTTTTATTTCAGGAGAATGAAAACTGGCCTGTCTAGCATTGGGATCCTCAAAATGGGTGAAGTACGTCATGTTAAAACTGAAAGACTTCTCTTCTACCCTACCCATGCCCTGTGAATCATTATCCATATCAACATTCTCCTCCTTGGGCGTCCCTCAGCTCCCCACCTACTCCCTTCCCCCCTCCTTCCCCCACACCTTCCCCCCGTCTCTCTAAGAGAGAACGGGTCAATCTGCTGACAGACCCTGCAGTCTATTTCAATTCGTCTTTTCGTTTGCACCTGTGTCAGCCGTCCAACTTCAAGTGATGAATAACGTCCCCTCAACTATTCTCAGGCTTCTGAGACTATACCTGGATATGATCTGAATGTGATGAGAAGACAACTGGTGGGCAATTTGCAACTGATGGGCAATTTGCGAATGGAGTTTTTGTCAAAGCCCATTGCTCAGAGAGTGGTGCTGATAGTACCGCGGTGGACAACCGAAAAGATTCTTATTGACACAGGACTGGTAAAATGACTCAAGCGGCGGGGTAACAAGTCGCTACAGTGTGGGTATGAGTGAGTACTTACACCCAGGAGCTCCCCGGCCTCCTGAGCTGTAACCTACAGGGCCGAAGTTTTATGGCTCTCCTTGCCACATTTGGGGTGAAATTATGATGGCTCTCCACGGACTTCTTCGGCGTCTGGAGGCACTGATCTTGCATCAGTGCCCCATGTGGCGTGTAGAATTGGATGCCCACTTTTCGTTGTTTTCTACTTCGTAACGTGTGGTAATATCAGGAGAACAGTACCAGAGACTGTGGTTGGCCACAAGTACTCGCCATGTTGTTAGAACAGGCCATCGCAAAACCGTCGTGGTGGTTTAAACCGCTAGTACACGGCCCCAGCCTTGCAGAAAAAAAACTTTTGTCACCTCCGAAAAAATTGCGGGTCAAAAAAATTAAAAATTAAAAAATTAAAAATTAAAAATTAAAAATAGAAATAAAAAAAATTGTGGGTCAGCCTACCGGAACACAATGGCTGGCGGCGCCTCTCTGTCCCTCTCTGTTGGTCTGTCTGTCCAATGATCTCTTGACTATCTAATCTATCTAACTCTCTATCTAACCTATCTAATCTGTCTGTCTG